TTACTATCTGCTTGACTATTAAGATATTTTATCTTAGCCAGGTGTTGGTGGCGCACGCCTTTAATCCCAGCACTTCGGGAGGCAGAGGCAAGTGGATCTCTGTGAGTTCGAGACCAGCCTGGTCTACAGAGCGAGTTCCAGGACAGCTTCCAAAAAACAATACCCTGTCTCAAAAAAAACCAAAACAAAACAAAACAAAAAGATATTTTATCTTACCACATATTTAGTAAGAATGCTTGCAAACTTTCAACATCTAATATTTACAGTGGGCTTTTGATAGATATTGTTTACCAATTTCAGCAATCACCCTTTGCTGCTATTTTCCTTGCAAATTAAGTAATAAATTGGTGTTTCATTTTTAACAAATACTTATTCTGGAGCCTGATATCCATGTCTTTTTTCCCTCCTTTTGCTTATATTCATTTGATTAATTATTTGCATATATTGTCTTGTCTTCCTCTACTTTCTCCTGAACATCTAATTGTTTCACTCTTCGAGCCATGTAGTATTCCTACATTAGGGCCAAAAGGGTTCTTAGTATTTTCTCTGCAAATATTGAGAGCAGGCGCTTCCAAAATTTTCTTTTTTTTTCTTTTTCTTTTTCTTTTCTTTTTTCCTCTTTCTTTTCTTTGTGTGTGTGTGTGTGTGTGTGTGTGTGTGTGTGTGTGTGTGTGTGTGTGTGTGTGTTTTGAGACAGGATTTCTCTGTGGCTTTGGACCCTGTCCTGGAACTCACTCTTGTAGACCAGGCTGATCTCAAACTCACAGAGATCTGCCTGCCTCTGCCTCCCAAGTGCTGGGATCAAAGGCGTGCACCACCACCGCCTGACCCCAAAATGTTATTAAACCTGAGATCTTCAGTGAGACGGGGAATTTCTCTGAACACTTGCTTCATTCTTTTGTTAATCTCTTTCCAATCACCTCCTCTGATTTAGTAGTGACTACAATGTCATCCTTTTAAACTATCTTGTCTCATTAAGATTTATTACCTCTTGATTTTATTTTTCTTCTATATCAATATTATCACCTAAAACTAAAATATTTCTTTTTAATAAATCCATTTCCTCTAGCTTAATCAACCACTTCCCTTTATTTGTCACTAATTCCCTGCTTCGTTTTTGAATTCAGTGTCTAAACATAGATATGATTGGTAGAGGCAGAAGTATCTGGACACAATTCTATCAAATATCTTTTCTGCCTTTGGGATTGTAATGGCATTGCTTCTCTCTTCCTTAAACTCCCACGTAATGCACACTCCATTCTTTTTTGTGTAATTATTATAAAACCCATCATTTCTCTGTGTTTGAACACAGAGAATTTCAATTGAGCAGGTCCCTGTTTTGGGGGTTTAGTTGCATAGTCAACAAAACTAGCAACCTCTAGGAACAAACGCAGACAACACCTACTCCATATGAGGCAGAAAACTTGGTCCCTTTGGGAGCTCATTCCCCGTAGAGGAAAGCTCCCTTAGCCCTGCTCCAAATAAGGTGACAGACTTTGATGATCCCCCATGAAAGGCCTCACCCCATGAAAGGCCTCACCCTCCCTGGGGAGTGGATGGGGGTGGGGTGGGAGGGGCAGTGAGGAGCATGGGAGGATGGGAGGGAGAGGGAACTGGGATTGATATGTAAAATAAGATTGTTTCTAAATTAAATAAATTTAAAAAGAAAACTTGGTCCCTCCCATCAGTCCTTCTTTAACTCCATGGACAGATGCAATTCAGATCACGATCAGGGAGAAGTTTGGAAAATGGACCTGGTGCTGTGTGACAATCTCTAGCACAATTTTACTGCAAGGGCCTTCTAAGTGTGTGTTCTAAAGTATAGGGGGAGTTTACAACCTAACATCACCACTTCCCATTGAGGTTGGGAATAAAGGCAGCAAAAACTGATCCATTCAGTTGCGTGATGCATTCCCTTCAGCAAGCTTGTCTCAACCATGTCTACGAGAATCAAGACCAGACACAGTGTCTTTTTTTTTTTTTTTTTTTTTTTTTTTTGGTTTTTCAAGACAGGGTTTCTCTGTATTGTTTTGGAGGCTGTCCTGGAACTCACTCTGTAGACCAGGCTGGCCTCGAACTCACAGAGCTCCACCTGCCTCTGCCTCCCGAGTGCTGGGATTAAAGGCGTGCGCCACCACCGCCCGGCCAGACACAGTCTCTTATGCAGCCCGTTTTTTTACAAACCTTAATCTCAAAAGTAATGACTTAAAGGTAAAAAAAGAAAAAAACAAATTTAACATAAGCTGTTTGGACTTGAAAAACTCAAAGAACTGCAAGACTGAAGCTAACTAAAGTATTAAAACTGTGTCCTAGCACATCGGACATCCTGTTTCAGTCCCTCAACTCCAGTCGGGTACCTAGTCAAGATTTAACATCAAAGGCACACTTAAATATGTTAGGAATTAAAAGATATATATATATATATATATACATATATTATGTGCTATATATATTTTTCCCTAAGTTTTCAACCAAAAGAGTAATAGATACAACAATAAAAGTAAAATACCAGTACTTTGCTGATAAAGCTATATCATGCTCAATAAGGATTTTTTAATGCCCTGTTTTCCCATCATCACCCAATTCTTAAACTTGGGGTGACCCACCCAAAGGAAGACATAGAAAGGAAATACTTAGCTGGATGCAAGCGTGGGTCATGATGTCCTGAAAGTAGTTAAGACACAGATGCTCTTCAGGCCTGCCTCTGTCAGGCAGACTGGGTCTCAGCAGGTGTGTGTTATGACCTCATGAACTCAGAATCTGGGCTGTGTGTGTATACCCAAAGCCCAGGAGTCACAGAAGAGATCGGGAGATAGGAAGAATGTGTGCACAATGACTTGATTCCTTATGTTCCAAGTAGAGAATGCCGTCTTTTTCTTACGGGAGAAGTGAGAGGTAGACAGGGCAAAGAGAACTATTCCAAAATAATTTCTTGCTTGAAAAAGCCCAGAGAAATAGGGACAAATGACAGACCATTGCCTCCATAGGTGGAGTCACCCTGTCCGCTTCACCTCTAAGCAAGGTAGGGAATACATTCATCTCACACTCAAGGTCTGATTTGGAATTAGTTCCCATCTTCCAACCAAGATTTCAAGAAGATTTTTATTAATAGGTTCTGTTACTAGTTCATTTTATATCAGATCTGAGGAGAAGAGGGTGAGGGTAAGAACACAGAGGTTCAGCCCAAATCCAACCAACCCCTAGATATATTTCCTCCCCAAACCTGGTCTGACTAACAAAAAGCAGGAACAGAAACACCTCATTAACAACTATCCCTCAAAAACTACTGGAGTGCAACGAATAATACTCAGATCAAGGAAGACCATTTAAAAAGTCTTTTTCGCCGGGCGGTGGTGGCACACGCCTTTAATCCCAGTACTCGGAAGGCAGAGGCAAGAGGATCTCTGTGAGTTCGAGACCAGCCAGTTCTAGGAGAGGCTCCAAAACAATACAGAGAAACCCTGTCTCGAAAAACCAAAATAAATAAATAAATAAATAAATAAAAAGTCTTTTTCATCTGTCTGCTGTGGAGTCCTGAGTGTGATAGCAATAGAGTGTCAGAGGACATTACCAAACAAAAGTCCCCAGATAGAATCCTACTGTGGACATTATTGAAAATTAAATTAAAAATTAAATTGAAATTTAAATTGAAAATTAAAAGTCATGTATCAGTTGGAAATTCAAATTTCTTTTTAAATTTAATTCTAGAATAGTTCATAGGAGCTCTTGTTAGCTTTTTTAGTTCACTTACCCAATAATGGATGCTCTACTGAAAGAGAAAACCTTAGGTCACTGGGCCCCACAGGACCCAACTATCTAGCTTCACATGAAGAAACAGGCAAGCAAAAAGGAGGCCTCTTCCTAATTAAAAAAAAAATCACCTTTAAAGGTAGGAGTTTCCTCTTCCTATGTGTAATTCAAAGACAATCCCACCTGCTCTTCCCATCCTCATTATAAAACTGAACCTCTTGAGGATTATAAGCCACCTTCTTTGGTCCAATCCAAGGATCTCTTCCTCACATGGTTTATGAGAACCTAGTAGCATTCCAATGCTATGTTTGTGATCATTGATTCTCTCAAGGATACCTGAATGCCCAGGACCAGAAAAACAAGAGAGATGATACCAAGAGTCAGTCTATTATCTCCAAAGAAAAAGTTTCACCCACGCCTTTAATCCCAGCACTCGGGAGGCAGAGGCAGGCGGATCTCTGTAAGTTCGAGGCCAGGCTGGATGGACAGCCTCCAAAACAATACAGAGAAACCCTGTCTCATAAAACCAAAAAAAAAAAAAAAAAAGAAAGAAAAAGTTTCACCCAAGATGCCAAAGATTCTCACATTATTATTATTATTATTATTATTATTATTATTATCTTGTTTTTAGAGACAGGGTTTCCCTGTATTGTTTTGGCGGCTGTCCTGGAACTCGATCTTGGCCTCGAACTCACAGAGATCCGCCTGCCTCTGCCTCCCAAGTACTGGAATTAAAGGCGTGTGCCACCAATGCCCAGCTATATTCTCACTTTAAAACCACAGGGTGTGGACACCAGAATGAACTTAACCTGTTAAGGAAGGGGTTTGGAGCTCAGTGGTGGTGGTACACCTTTAAACCCAGCACTTGGGAGCCAGTGACAGGCAAATTTCTGTAAGTTCCAGGCCAGTCTGATCTATAGAGTGAGTTCTGGGACAGCCAGGGCTTCACAGTGAAACACTGTCTCAAAGAAAAGGAAAGAGGAAACAGAGGAAACAGAGAGGGGGGGAAGAGAGAGAGAGAGAGAGAGGAAGCAAGCAAGGAAGGAAGAAAGAAAGGAACGGAAAAGAAAAGAAAAAGGTCTGGCTATTAAATATGATGGCTAAAGGGCTCAGGTAACCACTCAACACTAAAGATTTATAGAAGCAGTAGAAAACAGGGTGAGAGGGGATGTGGTGATAGGAAGGTAGGTACCTTTTGCCTAATGTCCCAGGGAGTGAGAAAATGGGGACACAAGCACAAAGTAGAGCCATTTAAAGTCAAACACTTTATTTTTACTCACAGCTCTGGCCAGAGACTTAGCATATAACTTTGAAGATAATTTAAGCTTCAGCATTTTAATCTACAAAACAGAGGAAAGCAATTTGCTTAATTGTCTGCTATGAGATTACAACAACCTTTACAAGTTGATTGATGCATAAGATATCCAGGAGGGGACCATGGGGAACCTCATCAGGTTAGGAAAGGCTTTTCAGCCTCATATTTAATGCAAGGAGCACAGGCACATACACACACGCACACACCAATAATTTCAATCCACAGTAGCTGGGACACACAACAAAAAAATCCTTCTGATGTCAGAGTCCTTCAAGGGGCAGGAGGGCCCTGCGGTTGTACCTTAACACTGTTCTTAGAGAAAGATGCTCCTATTTAATAGTAGCTATCATATAGCTGCTTATTCCCCAAATCCAAGACAGCAGCTCTCTAAAATAAACCAATGTCTCACCTCCCCCCCATCAGTTCACCTGTAACAAAAACAACAATGTGCAGACCTCCACTTGGCCACTAAGAGGTGGGTAGTCTCTACTACCCCTGAGATTACTTAGGGTGGGGCATCAGGGACTTCCATCTCTCTGTTTCTCTGAACAGCTATCAATAATCCCAAAAAGTCTTGCTTTGCATCTGTCCCACCCAAAAGTTTCTCGGGCTTGCATTCTAAGTGAAGGAGAAATTATTTCAGACCAGCTGTTTCTCTCTGGGGCTATTATGGTTGTTTTCTAATTACTTAACCAGTCTCCTCATAATCGTGGGCCAGAAAGTTACCACCCCTGAGAAGGAACTTTTAAAGAGGAAAAGGAAGGACTACAATGCAGGGTTCCACATTATGCTATAGTAACTGCAAGCAGACTCGTACCACTCCCCAGGCACCAAAAAGCATATCCCAGCCACATATCCACAAAGCACAAGTAACTGGGGGTAAGTGGGAGAGTGGGAGACATTAGCCTCCCACCAACCTGGAATTCTTGTTAAAAGATAATAAAAATAAATTAGTAAACATTGCTGTTTACAGAAATAGAAATACTTTCTGTTTGCAAAGGCCTCTCAACATCCAAGTCTGGACATTGCCAAGACTACCACCCTGAACACCCTCTCCAAGGTCCGCCCTGTTCAATGGGAGAGACACCAGAGTCCTTGGGACTGGGAGGTCCTCAGTTTTACATCTCTGGTGACAGGGAGGGAAGAATCTTCAGTATGCTGGTTTCTTGCAAGCTGTTTTGAAGCAACCGTTCCTTTCAGATGGTAATTGCGTTGCAAGACTATCTTCTGGCTCCCAGTCCCTCTCCAGAATCCGACAAGCTTGTCTAGAACCCATCCTCAGAGCGGAGCAACCAGTCTGTGCCTTGGTCTAACGACCCTGAAAAATAGGAATGGACAGAGAGAAGGCAAGGACAACGAACGGCCTGGGGGAGTAGTGCTCGAGGGAAAGACAGACAGCAAGGACAGTCCTACAGGCAAGCAGTGAAGCTGGTCTCCTGGCCAGAACAGGAGCTGGAGTCGGAACCAGAGCTTTCCACCATGGCTGGGGGTGGTGGCTCAGGGCGTGGAGTGCGACGACGCCCCCGGTACTCAATCATGTCGGGATGGTAGGTTGGATGGCGACGGGCATGCTTGGTCAAGTGGTCGCTCCGGGAGAACTGCTTGGGGCACAACGGACAGGAGAAGCGCTTTTCACCGGTGTGCGTTCTGTAGTGGCGGGCCAGCTCGTCAGAACGCGTAAACTTCTTGTCGCAGTCGAGCCAGTCGCAGGAGAACGGGCGCTCCCCCGTGTGGGTGCGCTGGTGTGACTTGAGGTGCGAAGACTTGTAATAGGCTTTGTTGCAGCCCGGGAAGGCGCACTGATGTCGCTTGGATGCGGGTGTAATCGGCCTCCTCCGGAACGTCGAGCCCATTGCTGGCGCGGGTTGGGCCCCTGGGGGCCCCTCGGGCACCTCTCCGCTGTTTTCGCTGTTTTCGGGGTCCTCTGGGACCTCAGGTGCACTCAGGATGGCAGGCTCGCCGCAGGAGCTCTCAGCGACGAAGATCTCCTCCTCGAAGAAGGCCTGGACCGGCTCGGGGCACCCAGCGGGGCTGGAGCACCAGGTCGGCTCGCTGCAGCTAGTTGAGGCACACGGGGCTTCTCCCGGGGCTTCCAGGGAGCCTTCCCGGGCACCGCAGCTCAGATCCGCCAAAGCGCTCGCAGCCAGCAGGTGGGGCGCTCCATCGCCCTCGCCGGGGCTAGGGGCGGGGACCTGGAGGACCGGGGGCACCCACAGCACCCCCCGTGTCCCGGAACCCGTCCCCGCCGACTCCCGGGGCACCTCACCCACCTCGGAGGCAGCTGCCGCACTCGCGCCTTCGGGCTCGGCTGCGTGGTGGTGCAGCACGGCGTGGGTGGACATAGACACCAGGCACTCTGCAGCGAAGTAGTCCAGGCAAGCCACGGCGGCCGACATGCTGGCGGAGCCCGGTTGCGGGCTTGCGCCGTCCGAGCGCGGCGAGCCGCGGGCCGGAGAGTCCCCGGGAGCGTCCGTCCCGCCTCTTCGAGCCGCTCGAGCGGGAGACCGGTGCGCGACGCCCGCTACCCGCGGCCGCTGCTGCCGGTGTCGAGCCCGCCCCGCTTGACGCGCCCTGACGCGCAGGAGCCTGCGGGGGTGGCGGGGACCCGCCCCGGCCCGAGGATACCCCCGGATCGCGCGGCCGCGCGGGCTAAGGCATTCCCAGCAGCCTGAGAAATTATCTTGTCTGCGCTTTCTCTCCGCTGCTGGCGAGCCAGGTAATTTCAATGCGCGCAAGTGCCGGATCGCAACTTCTGGGCAGCCTGCCGGCCTCGCCCCCCGCGCCCCTGGTCCCCGGCCAGCTGGGTGTCCGGCAGAGTCCTAGAAACTTTGTTTTTCCTTTAAGGGGGGGCGAAAAAAAGCCGCGTTAATACCTGACTTGTCTTTCGTTTCGCAAGCGCGATCGCTGGCGAAGTGAGCTCGGCTTGCGTTTGACTCGCGGCCACCGCTCGCAGCCCAAATTGAAAATAGCCCCAAGTCTGCATCAAAAAGAAACGGGGGGCGAAACAAAGTTTTCGCGTTTAGCAGTTCGGCTGTTAATGCAGGCTCGGCAGCCGCGTCCTAAATGGATCCGCCGCGTAGCCGCTATTAATTAATAGCCGTTTGAATCGGAAACGTTTTTAACCCTGGCGAGAGCGAAGAATCCTCCCGGCTTGAAACAGAAACTTAAAATCCTTGGAGCAACGATTTAACTATTCAAGCAACGAAAGAAAAATGCATGTTTAAACTGCATTAACCTGTCACAGGCACACAAACAAATTTCCGCGCTGAAATATAAATTACAGACTAGCAGCGAGATAAACACATTAAAATGGACTCCCACAATTTTAATAATAGAAAGTCACGTTTCCAATTAGGCAACGTCTTTTATTTCTTTTTTGACCAAAAATTAAAAATAATAAAATGCAGCAAAATGGTATAGAATGTTCATCCAGTGGTTTATGATTGTGGGGGGCTTTTTCTTTTTTTATAATCAAGTGTGTGAATGATTTTTACACGTCTTCACTGCTTTATTTGCTGTCCCCCCTTATTTATTTTTTAAAATTAAAAAACCCACAGAAAATAAGCAGGATAATTTCTAAATATAATGCCACCACAGTTTACTATGTGCACAGGTTTTACTTTTATGATATTAAGTTATGTTCATTTTGTTTGCAATGCTTCAGTATCCCCCCCTCTGGAAAATTAAAATGACACACGGGCATCGAGAATAGCATATGTCCATATACTTAATGACTAGAATAATCAAACACGCTGTTTTATGTCGTGTTTGCTTCCCATTTTTAATTTATATTGAGCAGTCAGAGAGGGCTGACTGTCACTTCCCTCCTCCTGGGGACTATTCATTTCCTCCCGCGCTAGTCACTGTCGTGAAGTGTATCTCCTTCTAACGCATGCTGAACTTTATTGACAGTCACCTACGTGTGTAAACATGCGCGTGCAGCCTCGTTAGCGTACTTACAATCTTTAATAAACGTTGCAGCGCCGCGCACGCCGTTGTGCAGCGTGCTTTTCTCAACACGGTTTTTGCGCTGATACCTGTAGAGCTGCTCGTCCGTCCGTTTCAGCAGCCTTAAAACAATATTGGCATCTGAACTGTTGTTAAAGGGACCCAGTTCTAAAACTGATGCTTCGGTCTTTTGTTTTTATTTATTTATTTATTTATTGCTAAAGGTATTTACCTCAGATTTTCAGATGCTGCAACAATCTGCACAAGAAAATTCTATCAGAATGATTTACAACCTGTTTTCCTTTTTAATTTATGATTTAGAAAAAAAACGTGTAAAGATATTTTTAAATGCTGAAAGAAGAAAATTCAAGTGTACCTGTCTTCTGTAATTGATGAATGGTATCATTTTGTCATATCTGTTTCAGATCTTTTCTAATTTGAGCTATTTGACACTTCTGATAAAATTAAAGCCCCCTTTGCACGCCTCCCTGTCAATTCTCTGAACCCTTTCCCCCAAAGGCAAACACTGTCATGAATTTGGTATGCAGCTTTGCAATTTAAGCTGCACGCTTGCAACTACATATGAATCTATATGAGATACTGCTTTTTAAAAATGTATATACATGGTTTTAGGTTTACTCTGCAGCTTGTTTCTTCCCTTGTGGTATTGCTTTTTTTTTTCCTTCTTCCTATTCTTGTTGGTAAATATAAATGCAGCTCATTCGTTTTAATTGTCCCACTGTAGATCCACACATATAAATGTGTCCTGTTTATTCATGGTCCAATTGGAGTTGCTGCCAATATTTTGATATCACTGGTGCATGTTTCTCTTGCATGCATGGAATACTTTCTCCGTGTGTATACCTAGACGTGGCTTGCTAGACAGCACTCACGGATGGAGCTAGGTACTACCAAATGACTCTCCAGTCTTCGCACCCATCAGTAGTGAGTGAGAGGGGTTCTGTCTCCCTCCCCAGATGTGAAATGCTTTCTAGATTCAGACTTATTTCTGCCAATTTGATTTTTTTTAAATACCCAGTATCTTGTTATTTTATTTGAATTTCCCTCACTGCTAGTGAGGCTGGGCATTTTTCCATATATTTATTGGCTGTTGAAGTTTCTGAATCTGTGATTTTTTTCCCACAGCCTTTGTCATTTTTCCAATAGGCTCTGCATGCTTTCTAGCTTTCATCCCTTGGATTTATAGTGTTTCATGTGCATAAACATTAAACATATTGTCCCAATCTGTCTTTTAACTTTTGATGTCTTCTGTGTTACAGAAGATGTAAAATGTAAAAATAACAACAACATGTAATAATAACAACAACAACAGTCTGCTTGCCTCTGTATCATTAAAGAACACCTCCACACCTGATGCCTGCAGACAGCATCTTCTGTCTTTCTCTCTGATGTTTTCCCACATGTGAAAAGTTTGCTGTAAAGCAGGAATTAATTTCAGTCCCCTCTCCCCCACCATGGAAAGCCTGCTGTGACCTGATTTACTAAGCAACCATCATGTCCCTATTATTGTGTAATACCACTATGTTTGTAAATTAAGTTTCCATATATTCATGGAAGTGTTCCTAGTTTGTCCTTTTCCACGGATCAAATCCATTCTGAACCAACAGCACACTCTTAATTACCATGGCTTGATAATAAGTCTTAATTGCGATGGCTTGGTAATTACTCTTGAAATACAGGAGGATGTGTCCTTTTCTTGTTCACTTTTTACAACTGTGCTGACCATTTTTAGACTTCCCTTCTATACTAACTTTAGCATCAGCCTGTCAAAGTCTAAAGAAAAGCTTTTTTTTTTGTATTTTGCTGGGTTAAGTTTACAATTTAATTTGAGGAGCTATGACATTTTTATGAAGCCCAGTGACCCAGTTCATGAATATTATTCTGATTTTTCAAGCATTTTATAATTTGTTTACAAAATGCTAGAGGCTCTTTATTAGCTCCCCGCTGCCCCCCACCCCAGGCAGGGAACCTTACAGCTTCTGGTATCACCACAGTAGGATCATTTTTCTATTAAAATTAAATTTGGGCCGGGCGGTGGTGGCACACGCCTTTAATCCCAGCACTTGGGAGGCAGAGGCAGACGGATCTCTGTGAGTTCGAGGCTGGGCTGGACCGATAGCCTCCAAAACAATACAGAGAAACCCTGTCTCATAAAAACCAAAAAAAAAAATTAAATTTGGGGGATGAAGAGGTGGATCAGTGGTTAAGAGCACTGACTGCTCTTCCAGAGGTCCTGAGTTCAATTCCCAGTACCCACATGGCAGCTCACACCTGTCTATAACTCCAAGATCTGACACCTTCACACACAGACCTGCATCAGGCAAAATGCCATTGCACATAAATAAATTATAAAAAAATTAAATTTGTTGATTTCTATTTTTGAAAGGGCTAATGATCTTGTTTAAAAGGCAAACATTCTCATTGGTTTATTTTTAGATGACTTTTGTATTTTTCATGCACATTATCATGTTTTCTATAAGTAACACCCTTTCCCTGATTAATCTCCTGGCATGTGCTGGGACCCCAGTGCAGTCAGAGTGTTAATAAGTGCCCCTTTCTGTCTCGTTGAGAATATGTCTAGTGTCCATCCTTGCTGTGCATTTTTTATATAGTAACCCTTTATCAGGTTATGGTAGCTCTTTTTTTTTTCTATCCTAGTTGGTTTAAAGTAGGGCTATTTTAAAAACTTGAGATGGGTACTGAAATATTACTATATATATTTCCTCAGACTGTTGAGGCAGTTATAGATTGTGTTGTTGGTGTGCTAAAGCAGCAGATCACATTGACGGGTGTTTCTAATGTGAGCCTGTTGAATCTCTGAGATAAAACAACAGTGCTTTCCATAGTCGACTGTTGTATTTTTAATACACTGCTCCACATAGTCTGTAATATTATATTTTAGCATTTTTTCATAAGTGAAGGCTTAGGATTTCCCTTTGTTGCACTGTTCTTGGCTGTTGTCTGGTGGCATGGTTATTGCCTCTGCAAAAATGCATTTGGAAATTTTTCTTTCTTTTCCTATTTCCTCTGACAGTTTCTGATGTATATTATTGCCTTGAATGTTTAGTGAATCTCATCTGTGAGGCTACCATGTTTTGAAAATTTAATGCAATTTCTCTAATCATCTAAACCATTTTGGTAATAATTCAGATTTCTCTTAAAAATAGATATATTCAAATCTACAAAATTTTGAAATTTGGCTCATATTCTCTCACTTTAACATGTACTACTTTATCTGTTGTCATACTCCATTTTATTACACACACACACACACACACACACACACACAGAGTGATTTTTTTCTCCTAAATAAACAAAGGTTTATTTATGTTTTTTACGAGCCTGTTGGTATTTGTCTGTGATCCTTTCAAATGGGCAGCTTTGGCTGACAGTATCTGTTTCTTTTAATATAGAGATACATGTTTACTTTCTGTGTTTGTTTTTTTAATCTCTGACACTTGTGCTGAGTGTCACACTTCACTGTGATTTCTCAAACATTAAGTTTTCAGAGGGGCGCTCTTCCTGGATTTCCCTGCTGTTAGCTCACTTGAGCTATTCTGTAGCCAGTGTTTATTGGGTAAGCTCCTGGGATTTGGTTCTTGGAAGTACAATTGAAGATTATTTGAAATGAAAAGTAGAATAAGGGTAATTTCTCAATGTGATGTATACAGTGGCCTTGAAAGAAATGTTACTAAAATAATCTTGCAAGCCCATTCAGAGGCTCCCAGGAATGTCCCAGACACACAGATGTCCTGGAAGGCCATCCCAACATCCCCTTTGACCTAATGATTCAGTGCAGGAAAGGAGTAGGAATTCAACAAATACACACAGAATAGATGAATGACCACCAATCTCAGAAAGACAGCTTCCTGGAAACACTGAGGCTCCATCTGCATGTGGTTCAGACTCCCTCCCTCCGTTTTGTCAAAAGCAGGTCCCTTCCTGTTCTAGCCCATTACCTTTTCTTCTCCCAGTTTCAGCTCATCTCATGCTTCCTCCCCTCCAGAATCCTTCGTCCTTTCTTCTTTACAGCATGATTTGAGTCAATATTAAATAATGGACTAATAGCTTTAATTAAAAAACCCTCCCCCACAGTCTAGCAGCCACCAAAGCTATATTGCCTTTCAGAGAGAGCCACGTCTCTCAAGCCTGAATGTACTCTCTGCCACCACTTCCTGCTGTATTACTAAAGTCAGGC